GGGCCAGTGTGCCATGTGGTGCTGGGTATTGAACCTCAGTCCTTGCTTTTGCCTAAGCAGGCACTTGGTCCGCTGAGCTATCTTGCCAGCCCTTGCCTCAGCTTTCTGAGTGCTGGGATTATAGGCATGTGCCACCACGCATGCCTTGAACAAAACACCTTGTTAGGACAGATGACCAACAACCACCCTGTTCATGTGTGATTACATGTATAATTATGTGTGGTACTGCTGATGAAAATGCAAATTTTTCATCTGCATTTTTCATTTTTCCATTTGCTTTTGATTCCTGGAAGTAGACTACCTGGCAGTGGAAATAGTGGGTACGCTGGTGATAGAGAACCCCAGAAATATTCCTCCAGGAACAGGAGAAACAGGAGAGCTACTCCAAACCACAGTTTTTTTCTCAATTAGCAAACTGTTACTGAGTATCTACTGTATACCCTTCACCTATGATTTGTGCCAAACCTTCAGCAGAACCCATTCCTTGTTGTTTTGGTACAGGGTCCCCTACCCATTCCTTCTCGCTAACAGCCTTTTCCCCCCACCCTCCTCAAACCATTGTAGATACACAGGGTCCTTATGCTATTGAAAAATATGTGTTGTATCCCTCATAAAGACTTGAGTCTGGTGCTGGCCAGATAGCTCAGCAGATTAAAGCACCTGCCTAGGCAGACGCAGGGACCAGGGTTCGATCCCCAAGTGTTCTGCAGGCCCCACTCTTGGGGTACCCTAAAACGGATTGAGATTGGGCATGGTGGTACGTGCCTATAATCCCAGCACTGGGGAGGCTGAAAACACAAAGATCACTATGAGTCCAAGCTGCACAGGGGACCCTGTACCAAAACAACAACAACAAAAAACCTTAAGTCTAGTATCTCTTTTCTGGTGGACATTGGCACAGTAGAGTTTTATTGGTAATAATTTTTTTATATGCTAAAATAAAGCGATGATGAAAATTTTAGAGGAAAAAAGGAGAGCATCTATCATAAGCATTTTCGCATATTACACAAACACATAAACATTTTAATGTCTGGGTGTTACTCCTTTGTGTGCCTTAGTCTCTTAACATCTGTCCAGTTGTTGGATCCTGAAATCTCTCCCTTTATTCTTCCTATTATAAATAATGGTAAAATGAGCATCTTTGCTTTTCAAACTTTGTTCGCAATTTTATTTATTTCTTATAGGCTTGAATTGTTCAGTCTCTGTCTATGAATATTTGCTAACACAGATGATCTGTTATGAGATCTCTTCTCAGAGCACTCAGAGCAGTTTTATTCCCACTGAAGGTCTGGTTAGTGCTTCTGTCATGGTGTCCAAACTCTCACTCGCTATCAAAAACTTTAAAAATCTTCGCTGATTTTTTTAGACTAGTTTTTATTGTCCTTATTACTACTAAGATTGGGTATCATTTCTCTTTCTTGAATTATCTGTTCATGGGCTTTGCCCATATTTCTGTTGGAAATTTTATATTTTTTGACTCACTTGCATGAATTTACATACATATTAAGGATGTTAATATTATGTTTATTATTTATGGGTTATATTTGTGCTAGAATATGTAGGAGTGTATTAATACATTATCATTATCACTGACAAAATAACTTGCTTTTTAAATAAGGCCAGTTTATATTACTTTAGGAGGTAGTTTTCAATGTTTAAAACTTAACACAATATCTGTTGTGTTGTTGGTCTATTCAATGTGACAGCGCTTTTTGTGTCATTACACAATTATGCAGTCTGGACACTGACTGAGTACTTGAGAAGGTAAAGAGCTACTGTGAAATTTACTGAGTTCTAGATGAGATTCTAGTAGCCCTTGTTGCCCTCCCTCAGCTTCCCGCAACTCTGAATGGCAGCCCCTGACATGTTCTCCTTTGCCCCGTAGACAGTCCCTCCTCACTCCAGGAAGATGAAGAGGTAGAGATGGAAACCGTCAGCTGGCACACCAGCAGTCCACCCGTGAATGGGCACCCTGCCCCTCCAGTGACCTCTGCTCGTTTCCCCAGCTGGGTCACTTTTGATGACAATGAAGTCAGCTGCCCTTTGCCACCAGTCACTTCTCCTCTGAAGCAAAAAATGGCACCAGTGGTGCCTGTGACTCCAGTGGTACCTTACAACTCCACTGGGTCATTCAAGAGGGATCGTCCCAAGAGTACTTTGCTGAGCTCCTCCAAAGTTCAGAAGCTGGACATTTCCTCCCTCAACCACCTGTCCTCTGTAACTGAGGCCCCACCGTGGAGGGCCACCAATCCTTTCCTGAATGAGACGCTCCAGGATGTCCAGCCCTCACCCATCAACCCTTTCAGTGCTTTCTTTGAGGAACAGGAGAGGCGCTCCCAGAAAAGTTCCATTTCCAGTAGCACAGGCAGAACCCAAAGAGATTCCCTCATTGTCATCTACCAGGATGCCATCAGTTTTGACGACTCAAGCAAAAACCAGTCCCACTCTGATGCTGTTGAAAAACTCAAACAGCTCCAGCTCGATGAACCTGATCGCCTTGGCAGTGCAGCACTACCCGATGATGACCCCATAGCCTGGATTGAACTAGATGCTCACCCACCCTGCTCGGCACTGACTCAGCCCAGAGATGGCTGGCCCATGATGCTCAGGATCCCTGAGAAGAAAAACATCATGTCTTCCAGGCACTGGGGTCCAATCTACATCAGACTGACAGACAGTGGTTACCTGCAGCTGTATTATGAGCAGGGCCTAGAAAAACCGTTCCGTGAGTTCAAGCTGGAGATCTGCCATGAGGTTTCAGAACCCCGGCTTCAAAACTATGATGAGAATGGTAGGATCCATAGCTTGCGGATAGATCGCGTCACCTACAAAGAGAAGAAGAAATATCAGCCTAAACCTGCTGTAGCCCACACGGCAGAGAGGGAGCAAGTGATCAAGCTGGGCACGACCAAGTATGAGGACTTCCTGAGCTTCATCCGTGCAGTGCAGGACCGGCTCATGGAGCTGCCAGTATTGTCAATGGACTTGAGCACAGTTGGCTTGAACTATCTTGAAGAGGAGATTACAGTGGATGTCAGGGATGAGTTCACTGGCATTGTACGCAAAGGAGACAATCAGATTCTCCAGCACCATGTTTTGACTCGGATCCACATTCTGAGTTTCCTTTCTGGGCTGGCAGAGTGCCGCCTGGGCCTCAATGACGTTCTCATCAAAGGAAATGAAATCGTCTCTCGGCAAGACATCATGCCCACCACTACCACCAAATGGATCAAACTCCATGAGTGCTGCTTTCACGGGTGTGTGGATGAGGATGTGTTCAACAGCTCTCGGGTTATTCTCTTCAACCCTTTGGACGCTTGCCGGTTTGAACTGATGCGGTTCAGGACGGTGTTTGCTGAGAAGACCTTGCCTTTCACACTCAGGACAGCCGCAAGTATCAATGGGGCCGAAGTGGAGGTGCAGAGCTGGCTGAGGATGTCGACTGGCTTCTCCTCCAACCGCGATCCTCTCACTCAGGTTCCCTGTGAGAATGTCATGGTGCGTTACCCAGTTCCCAGTGAGTGGGTGAAAAACTTCCGCAGGGAAAGTGTCCTGGGGGAAAAGTCTTTGAAAGCCAAAGTGAACCGAGGGGCAAGTTTTGGCTCAGCTAGTGTCTCTGGCTCTGAGCCTGTCATGAGAGTCACTCTGGGAACTGCCAAGTACGAACATGCCTTCAACTCCATTGTTTGGAGGATAAACCGACTGCCTGACAAAAACTCAGGTAGGTGGGGCTTTCTTCTTCCAGAAACAGCCGTGTGGTGGCTAAAGGGCCAGGGTCACTCTTCTACATCTATTTCTATGTGGAAAACTTGTTTTTGCTGTTGTTGGGAACTGAGATGGGCTGAGGGGTGGGGTGGGGGGATCAAAGTAGTAGAAATATTTACACAGAGTAAGGGGCAAATGTAGTGACCCAGTTCACCCCACCTTTTCACTCCCTTCTTATCTATCATACATCTTCTGTAGAAGAGTATTACTCTGCTTAGTTAAGCTAACAAGGAGCTTTTCAGGGCAGCTTCTGATTTTCTGTTCTTGTGCGACTCATTAAAGTATTAGCTTTAGTGCTGGAAGCAACACTTCCAGATCCTAGAAGGCATCTGGATTCTGCAGAAGCATCTCTGACTGTGCCCAGATGAAAGAGAAAAGCAGGTTCACGGCTGGTCGCATACACAGTACACACAAGAAGTGAGGGTTTGTGATCCAGCTGCTGCCAGTTGTAACATGTCAGCTCAGGGTTTGGCTTTGGGATGCAGGGATGGGAAAGAGGCAGAGAATATGAAAGTAGCAGAATATAAAGGGATCAAGGACTCTTCATGCAAAAAGTAAAGGAAAGAATGGTAGATTTAAAGGATCGAGCAGAACAGCTTACCATCTTTGGCCAGCCTACACACAGCCATGCGGGATGCTGGCAAGCTTGAGTGAGTCCAGAAGGCAGTTACTTCCCTTGTGGGTCTCCTGAGATTTGGTGAAATGACAAAACGAGGCAGCAATCAAAGCAGCGCTAATGGCTTTATTTCTTAAGAGTGTATGTGGGCAACCCGAGCGGCAAGCAGCAAGCCTGTGATTCCGTGAGCCCTTCAGGCTCTTCCCTTGTTAGAATAAATTTTGCCCATCTGTTAATGAAAGTGGGCTTGCTAGAAAAACACATCTCCTAATGGAGATGTGCAGCTAGGCTTTTTTCCATTGACACTATTAGTCCTAAGTGGACCTCTGCTGCTCAGTGTGTGGAGCACCTGGGTTACCTATCCTGCATGTAATATGATGTGACAGCAAGCCGGTAGGAGCTGCTCAGCTCCCTGCGCAGTCCTGAGTGGTCCACACCAGGCATTCTGCATCAGACACTGGTGTAGCAGTGCAAACTGAAGAGACAGCTGAGCTTGTGTTTAAGGTTGAGTTTGCTACCTGCTATTCCTAAGCAGGCAGAATTTTAAAACAAAGTCTCCTCTCTGTGCTTGCTTACTATTTCCCACTGAAATCGGTACTGTATGGTATCTTCCTGGGGAAGAAACTGTGATTCTGTCTCAGCCACAGGGCCCATCTGACTTGATGGGGGTGGGGGGAGAAACCTTCCTTCTGCCGAGGCACAGAAGCCCTTAGGAAGAGAAAGCTGCAGAACACTGGGCTTTCCAGCTCTTCATTCCATGGAGCTGGAAAGGAAGGCCTGGAGGTGAACTGACCTGACTCATCGTAAGGCCACATCAGGCATCTTTTCTCCACATACCATTTCTCTTAATAGATGAAGTCAAATACACATATACTTGAAATAACCTTCACTGGAAGGGCAGAGCTGTGCAATGTTCCCCAGTGTTCAGAAACATATCTTAAAGTGATTTAAAATATTTAAAAGCCCTGTGTCATGGGGCTTTTGGTTATCAAGCAACAAAAACTAGCCTTAAGTAAGAAAAATGGTTGAATGAATCAAAATAACTCAGCATTGACAGAAAGTTGAAACAGCAATTATCAGAAGGGTAGCTCTGGGCTAGAGAGATGGCTCAGTGGAATAAGTGCTTCCCTGGCAAGCACAAGGGTCTGAGTTCAATCCCTGGTTCTGCCAAAAGAAGGGTAGCTCTAGAACAACCCTGGTAACAAGAGGCAGTGGGAGTCATCCTATGGTGCTGCCACAGGGACAAATTATCACCATCATTTTCTGCCCTTTGCCATTTGGCTCGAGTCATGGGGACTCAAGCTACTGTGAACACCAAGATGAGTTGTAGAATCAGGGAAAATTATTTCCTAAGTGGAGAGAGAAAGAGTGAGATTTGCTACATGAAGGGAAATGTGTTCAACAAACATATTCCTTGGTGCTTTTCTAGGGGTGAGCTTTTCTTAATTTTAGAAGGTACCAAAACAAGTCCTGCAGTTTCTGCTATGGGTTGTACCTCAAGAAATGAAAAAAGGGCTGTTAAGATAGCTGAGTGGGCTAAGCGCCTGCTTTGGGAAGCACAGGGGCCAGGGTTCGATCCCCAGTCCCCCATGCAGCCAGCCCCGCCCCCGGGGCATACTGAGCTAGTGATCTAGTCCAGGCATGGTCGTGCAAGCCTATAATCCCAGTGCTGGGAGGCTGAAAACAGGAATATCACTATGAGTCCAAGCTGCATAGTGAGACCCTGTACCAAATACATAAAATGAAAAAAATAAACAATAAATTTTTTTTTAAATGAAGCATTCTCCTGCATAAGTAGCTTTCTTTTTTGGAATTCCAGTTCTCCTCAGACGAGGTGAAGAGATAACAATTCCAGGATTAGCTTTTATGGGGTAAAGTCTGATTTTTAATGTTAATTTTCTCCATTTCATCAAGGAGGAAGATACACGTTGTGGGTTTGTTTTGTTCACTACCATGGATTAAACTATACCATCTCTCCAAGTGATACTCCTCTATCTGGCAGCATTGTACATCTAATGGCTGGGATTTTCAGAGTTTACTGTGAATGTGCTTTGGTGGAAGGAGAGGAGGGAGTCATTTTTGCAAAAGAAATGACTTCTCAATACTCCAGCAACGTGCAAATGAAAATAATTAGATAAAAACAGTTGCCTAAGTTACTGTTGAATTAAGAGCATCTGCTCTATATGTTAGGGCAAGCTAATCCCATAGCAACATATTGAAAAGAATTTAGGACATAGTTTGGACTCAGTCAGATCTAAGTTTTATTCCCAACTCTACCATGCAATGGCAGTGTGACCTCAGGCAATTTACTTAGCCCTCTGGGAGAAACCTAATTTTCTTCATCTATTAAATCAGGCTATTAATACCTACATTATACAGAGAGAAATTAGACAATGCTTTTAAGTGATCAGCACCCTATCTGGCCTGTGAAGAATACTGAATAAGTGATACTGTATATCTGTGACACATATATCATGTAAATTTTACTACCATATCTTACTTAAATTGCTTTCCTAAAAAACAATACCAATTATTCAGTTAATTTCCTAAGGTCTTACTCTTTACAAATAAGTTATGTTGAATTATGTTACATTTGTGAAACTGCAAAACAAATACTTCACTCTGTAATGTTTTCCTTGGAGAGTGGGTGTGTATCTCCTTTCTGGACTGAAAAGCCCTGTCCAGACCCATAAAGAAAACTGGAATTGTTTACTTGGGAGAACCAGGGTAACTGAGGGACTGTGCAGTTACATAATCCAGCCGGAGCAGTTTCATGCTCTTATCCACAGCCCGTCGCTCCATGCGGGCTCGTGCAGTTTTGCCTTGCTCCCCGGTCACCTGACTAACCCGGGCTTGAGGTCAGGCCAAGTCCAGCCAGGTTGCTGAGTCGACTTCTTCGCTCTGCCACTTTCTAGCTGCGACTTCACTTCCATCTCCTCATCATGAGAGGTCATTATGCAGATTCAGTTAGAAAATCTGTGGGAAGCATTTATTTTTATTTTTTTTTTAATTTTTTTTTTATTTTAACATTTA